TCTCGATCAATTAATTTTTTAAATAATCTAATAAAAATTTTGACGTCATTTAGAAAATTTCCTAATAAATTAAAAAAAAATTTTTATCTAGAAACATCATTAAAAAAAATTAAGAATTTCGATAACAAGCTAACTTTAAAAATTTATCGACGATTGTACGATAGTCAAATACATAGATCTTTTATATTCTCTCGAAGTTCATTTCGAGATCTATATTATAGACATATCGAATGATCTAAATTTTTTTTCCTCCTTATTTATATATTTTTTTAAGTATGAGATCAATTTTTTCCTTTTTTTCTTAAGGGTATTGCACAAATTTTTTTACACGATTTAAATTGTAAAGATATTGCACAAAAATTAATAAATGGGGAGGGGAAGAGAGCGGTTTTGTTGTGCATTATCGATTTGTTTCAATTTTTGTCATGTTTTTTTTGCTTTTCGTCAAATTATGGTCTTTTTTTTTTTTTTTTTTGCTTTTAGTCAAATTATGTGGGCCCATGCACCACATTGTTGTGGTTGGGAATTGAGTGGATGTCATAATGACTACAAAATCCTCGGTCAATTTACATGACAAAATGAGGAAAGATAAATAATGAACTCCAGGATAAAATTGTCACTTTGGCAAATTTTTACAAGGCCATGCACGTTGTTGCCTGACAGTGGGCCATTGTGATGTGACTGGAAAATCAATTCTTGTGGAGTAATAATCTCTACCAGACGGGCCCTAAAAGGTCCTGATAGCTTTTTATCCAATTCGTTGCCCCACCTATTTTTAGATTGAAAATTTTATGATATTATAGTCAGTATCCAATATTGGAAGTGAGAAGTTAGAAATAATGAAAGTAATTTTAACTGTTGGCTCCTTTGGTTTTTTAATTTATAAAATAAATAAATTTATTTTTTTTATCTTATTTTAATAAAAAAATTAAATTTCTTAAAACATTTCAATTAACAATATTATACCATTATCTAATATTATTTATTATTTGAAATTTATGTGTAAAATATAATATAAGTTTCAAAATAGAAAAAAATTATGTTTAATATATTATGCAATAATATATAAAAATAATTATATTATTATAATAAACGGATCGGGTTAATCAAATCGGATTGACCTATATCCATATTTGCTTCATTTAATTAATGAATTATCGGATTCGGATCTTGTCTAGTTATAGGTCTGAGACCCTAAATCTACATCCCATTAATTTCATTGATTCGCATAGAATTTGGATCAAAATCCAATCCATTGACAGCCCTAATTGTTACGCTTCTTTTTCTATTGCCCTAACTTCTTCTCTATAGAAAGAGATATGTATATGAGTTTTGATCTGTAGTAATTTATATTTACTGATAAAAAGGAGAGAGAGACATGTCTTAGTTTATGGATGTCCTCGAATAACGGCCCTAATTTTTTTTCTTGGATTTCCTTTCTCTTTCTCGTTCCTTTTTCAATTATTCATTCTCAAATTGCTTGTTCCATTTTCAATTTTTAGTTGTCAAATTGTTACCTTCCTAAGTCACTTCAGTTATAAGGCCGTTTATGATATGTTGTGGAGTGTGGACTATAGTTTATGCATGGTACAACATGGAACAAATTGAATTTCATGAGACATTTCAAATTTATCTGCAAGTGAAGTCTTAAAACTACAACTTAAGCTCTGAAAGGGTTGATGCGGTTGATGTGAGACTCTGAGTTTTATGTTTTTGATAGTATTAGCAATTCTTTGGAGTTTTCAAGAAGAAATTATATCAAATTGACAGTGTTCAATACATAAAACAATGAGAAAACAAGTGGCATGAAACAATTCTCAGCCATGGACCATGGTTGTAGATTGAAATTTTTTATTCAAGATCATTGCTCTTGAAGTAGTGTGATGTTGAAAACTGTATACGAGTTCATAGGGAGATAATTGTGAAAGTTTTTGCTGAATGTCGTCCCTTTCTAGGGTTCTATCATTATATAGGAATTGAAATCTGTATATCTATGGTATGTAATTATCCTAATATGGTAATGTACAATTATGGTATTTAAATATTCTAAATTGGTAGATACAATCACATAAAGATGGCAATGTAATTGTAATGAAATCTTTCCGTCAATCTCATTAACATCTCTCTTAAATTGATGCTGAATGATCAAGAAGTAGCAATTTGTTGACAAGAAACTGATGTTGTTGTCAAGTCATCGCCTTGGTAAAATCAATAGTTTGGACATGAGTTGTGACACGTGGAAGAGTAGTCAGACGACCATCATAAGCCTCACGTATAGAGTGACAATCCACTTCAATACGTTTAGTGCATTCATGAAACACGGGATTAGCAGCAATCTGAATGACATTAGTGTTATCCGCATAAAGAACAATAGGCATAAGCTAAGGACAACCAAGCTCCGTAGAAGACCTCGAAGCCAAACAATATTAGAGTAGGCAGAAGACATAAACAAGATACTCAGACTCAGTGGAGAATTTAGAAACACACTCTTACTTCTTACTTCGCCATGAAATGAGCGCAGTCCCACGAAACATACGCCATCCTGTAATCGAGCGACGAGTATATGCATATCTAGCCCAATTGGCATTACTATAACCAACCAGATCAAGAGGAGAGTTGACAGGAAAGAAAAGACCCCTATTAGGTGCACCCAATAAGTATCGAATAATGCGATGGACTACGACCAAGTGGAGGTGTCGTGGGGCGCGCATAAATTGCCAAACATGCTGGATAGCAAAAGAGATATCTGGTCGTGTAATAGTGAGGTAATTTAAACTACCCACCAATTGCCGATATAAAGAGGGATCGAGAAGAAGATTACCCTCCTCTTTACGATATTTCACATTCACCTCCGAAGGAGTTTCAACATATCTATCATCCTGAAGTCCAGCTAAGTTAATCAGCTCCTCTGTATGCTTATGTTGATGTAGGTAAGTCCCGACTAGACTCTAATGCACCTCAAGACCTAAGAAAGACTATAAAGGGCCCAAATCCTTGATATGAAAAGATTCTTTAAGTCAATCTTGAAGATTATATATCAATCCAGATTCAGTTTCCATAATAACTATATCATCTACGTAGATAAGTAGAAGTACCATATCCACCTCGATGTTGGAAATAAAGAGAGATGAGTTATATTGACTTTAAGTAATCGAGAAACTAAGAAGAATGGAACGAAACTTGTCAAACCAAGCATGGGGAGCCTGTTTTAACCCATAAAATTAGCGTTTTAGCTTACAAACATCGAAAGAGGGCAAAAAGAAGAGACTCAGAGGTAGCGTCATATAAATCTCTTCTTTAGAAAGCATTCTTAACATCCATCTGCCGTAAAGACCATCCCTTGGAGCAGCTATGCAAGAACAATGCGAACTATTGTCATTTTGGCCACAGTGGCAAAGTCTTCTCATAATCTACTTCATATTCTTGATAATTACTAAGAGTGACTAATCGAGCTTTATAGTGATCTAGTGATCCATTAGATGGAACTTAATAGAGTATACTCATTTACATCCAATAGGTTTGATGCCAGAAGGACAAGGAACAATATTCCATGTGTGATTCTCTTGAAGGGCTTGAAGTTCCTCTTGCATAGCTTTTTCCTAACTGGGTTGGATAACAGTCTAAGAATAAGAAGTAGGAACTGTGAAATAAGATAGGGTTGCAGAGAAACCATAAATGAGATAAGGTTGCAGAGAAATCACACCGATCAGGAGGATGAGTAATGCGGATGGATCGCCGAAGAGTATCAGAGTGTGGAATAAGATTGGGATCGGGGTCGAGAACGGGAAGGGACAGTGAACCTAGGTGTCGTTCATCTTTGATATATCATACTTGGTTTGAAACGCTCGGTAGGACAAGAGTAATCCTTAAAGCTAATGAATTGAGCCAAATCAAAAGATAATAAATGTTGTGGAAAGTAATGTTGATTCTCAAAGAAAATCACATTGCGAGAGATACGAAAGCGATTAGCAACACCATCATAATAAACAAGACATTTCTGAGTAATACTATAACCCAAGAAAGCACACCGTACCGATTGAACAGTAAACTTATGACGTTCATAGGCAAATGAACGAAACAGACACAGCTAAAAGTATGCAACATCTCATAGCTAGGATGTGTGCCATATAGGCGAAAATAAAGGTGAATTAAAATTCAAATGCTAAGCAGGAAGTCGATTAATCAGATGTACAGCTGTAGAGAGAGCTTCATCCCAAAATTTAGGCAGAACCGAAGATTCTAGGAGCAAAACTCTGACAACATCTAATAATTGACGATTCTTTCTCTCCGCTATTCCATTCTGCTGAGAAGTATATGGGCAAGAGCATTGAGAAAGAATGCTCTTCTATTGTAACAAAGTCTGGCACTAATGAGACATATTCACCACCATTATCGAACCGTAGAATTCAAATACTGGAAGAAAATTGTGTCTCAATGTAAGCGATAAAAGTCTCAAGGGTGGTACCGAAATCACTCGGAGAAGATTTATAAAAGTATAACGACCGAAATCATCAATAAATGTCACAAAATACTTATAATGAGCATGTAAAGTTAGAGGTGCCACTTCCCAAACGTCACTATAAACGATCTCAAAACATTTATTAGCATGGTTGCCATGAGTTGAAAATAGAAGAATCTTACTTTTCCTAAGTTTACAAGCATCGAAATTGAAAGATAAAATAGAAAATTGAGATTGATCTTTATTACCCAAAAAATCACGCTTCAAAATTAAAGTATTCGAATGTCCTAGTCTTTTATGCCAAATTTCATGCTTAATTCCAACATCAATACAAGCTAAAGATATAGTAGTAGGAATATTAAAATTGTAATGGAAACAATCTTTCGACTTTAGGCACCTTCACAATTACTTTCCTCGATCCTTGATCTTGTACAAGATAACCAGCACGAGACATGCACATCACAGTTATTGTCAACTAATTGACCAACTGAAATCAAGCTAGTAGATAACCTAGAAGATACAAAAACATTATCAAAGGAGGACCCAATATCACCAATAATAGTAATTGGGAGGGTGGTGCTATTAGGGATCTGAATGTGTTGTATGCCAGTATAACATCTGATGTTATGCAATGAATTAGAAATACTTGTCATATGATTTGACGTCCCCGAATCAACAAACCAAGGAGAAGAAATAACTTGACCTTTACCTTGTAAGCCTAAGGCAGAGAAGGTGGAAACAATCATCTGCTGAACCATTTCTAGGATAAGAACCGATTGACTGGTACTTGCTTAGGAGATTGTGGGAGTAGGTCCCTGAACATTAGCCTGAAATGCCTGAGCTTTTCGATTTGGAGGTCGTATGGGACAATCCTTGATGAGGTGCCCCGGTTGCTTTCAGTAATTGCAAACTTTCTGAGGACAATTGCGAATAATATGACTGTATCCTTTGCAGTAGAAGCGCTGAAGTTTACCTTTTCTCCGTCCTTGCACTGCATAAGCAACATTCACAACATCAAAGGACATATTAGCTCCCATGGTAGTTTGTGTAGCCATTCGTTGCTCCTCACGTAGAAGTCACCCATTCATACATTCAAAGAGGGAATCGGATCGTGATTCAATGAACTCGTCCTAGCGACTTCAAACTCAGGTTGTAATTTCATAAGAAACTAATCCTACTTACTAACTTCTTGAACCTCTTGAAGAGCCAATAGAGCTGTTATAGGGACCTTAGCATGAATTATGTTGGAGTACTCACTCCATAGGCTCAGAAAACTAGAGTAATATTGCTCAATGGTGAGATTGCTTTGAGTGTAGTTGGCAATCTGTAACTCCAATTGAAATTACCGTGCATTGTTGTCACGATAATGGATTCATTTTAAGTATTTCCACATTTCCTTAGCAGTAGTGAAGGATAGTAAACTATTCACCATATGCGCCTCCATAGTACCAAGATTCAGGAAATAATACGAGTATCCTTCGTTTCCCACGCACTAAGATCCTTAGCATCTTCAGGTGCTTTAGAAGACACATCAATATGACCCCAAAGCATCTTTCATTTCAAAAACTTTTTGAATTGAAATTCCCTTGTCGAATAATTCTTCCCCGCAAATTTAACACAAAAAGCTTCAACTGACATGATATTGTATCAAGAAGGTCAACCAAATGAACCAAAGTAAAATTAGCCCACACCAAATACCAGCCCACAAGTTGGCAGCTCCAAAAAAAAAAGAAAAAAATAAGCTCACACAATTATTAGCCCGATTAGAATAACCCAATAATCCACTCCACACAACTAAGCAGCCCACAATCCAACAATAGTTCACCAAAATCAGTCACGGTAATATCCACAAAGACTACAGAATGTATCTTCATATGTAATCTTTGATAATTATCTATCGAGATGTCGTTGATTAAATTTTTCCTTGTATTGCAACCTAGAAGTTGTAGTGAGACCATATTACACGGTAGGATTTATCAGTACTCTTATTCTTATGCCATGGTGCTACATCCTGCTATGTGGATGATACGTAGCTGTTGATATTTCTTACACGAACTTGTGGACATCACTTCCACAAAACGCGCTCTATTGAGGGAGCTGATTAGTTATTTTTATTGTTTCTGTGCCTTTGATATGTACAAGCATGACATAATCGTGTAATTTCTCGTTTTAAAAACAACTTGTGTTTGTTTAGATTGGTGGAAATGGAACAGTTTGGCGCAACAAATCATTATGTTTGTGCCCCTTGTTTTCTTTTTCTTTCTTCAGACTCAACCAACACGAAGAGAGTGAGAGTTGTGAAAGAAGGATCGACTGATATACAATACTTGTTGTATAGTTGCTTTCTTATCTTTAGTTTTCTACCATTAAAGTGTAAATCAACAGAAATTAAAAGATTATTTGTGATTTTATGGTCAAATCAAGTTTGAAACTCCAAATTTGAAGTCCGTATATTTTCATGATAGATGGAAAGAGTACGCTATCCTTTTCATACAAGTGGACAAGATGGAAGTCCAAATGTGAATTCCGTATCTTTGTATGATAGATGGATAAAATAACCTTACCATACAACTGGACAGGATTGAAGTTGGCAAAGAAGTCACTTTAATTTGACTAACTTTGTGGATGTCTGATGTAGATGAATCTACAAACACACGACAACAATAACCAAACGGATTGAATTCAGAAACAAACTTTTATTATTTCGTGAACAACCAAGAAAACCCTAGGAGGTGTCTTGCAGCGTCTTAAATATAAAAGAAAAGATAACCTACTGGCCAGCAGTCTCAAAATGGGCTGGACTACAAAATGGAAATAACAAATGCTGAAAATAAATAACACAAAAACTTAAAATGCTGTTTTGACACACTAAACGACTTCAAATGCCCAAAAACCCTCGTACATCACAGCGAAGCTTTGAGTTCAATCTGAAACGCTCGCTACCTTTCTGAAATGGGGTTATGGGCCCAAAACGGACACCAAACGAAAAAGTTACATCAATTTCTTTGAAAGCCGACCATCCAACCGTTCCATGTATGCCAATGCCTGTTCCTCCACATAAACCTCATCATTCTCCCCGAGATCAATGGGATTCGCTCTCAAGTCAGAACCGGTAGCACTATCTTCCACGTTGTCTCCATGGTTTGGCAAAAGATGCTTTACATTAAACACATCAGAAATCCGTATATGAGAAGGAAGTCGAAGGCGATAGGCGTTGGGGTTGATCTTCTCCACAATTTCCACTGGACCAATGGTATGAGATGATAACTTCGAATGCTCATGAGATGGCACTCAATCCTTAGTCAGTACCACCCAAACATAATCCCCAACGTCAAACTCAACAGGACGTCAATGCCGATCAGCCGCCTCTTTATACTTACGGTTGGACTCTAGCAGATTAGCTCATGTTTCCTTGTGAACTTGTTGCAAACTACGAACAAAGTCAACAGCTGTCCCATGCAGCCGAGTCTTAGAGGGCAGAATCAATAAATCAACAGGGCTGCGGGGCAGAATACTATACACAACCTGGAACGGACTGAAACTGGTGCTTCTATTTCTAGCATGATTATACGCAAACTCTGCCTGGCTAAGCCGCTGATCCCATGAGCGTAGATTATCCCCAACCAAGCACCGCAACAAGTCACCCAAAGATCGATTAACTATCTCTGTTTGCCCATCAGTTTGAGGGTGATAAGCACTACTAAAATTGAGCGACGTGTTAACTGACTTCCATAAACTCCGCCAAAAGTGACCGATGAACCTCGTGTCTCTGTCAGACACGATGGAAGTGGGCAACCCATGCAATCGATAAATCTCTCTGAAAAATAGCTGAGAAACCTTGACAGCATCAGTGGTGCGCTTGTAAGGAATGAAGTGCACCATTTTAGAAAAACGATCTACTACCACAAAGATGGAATCATTACCACGTTGTGTGCGCGGTAAACCCAG